GGCATCAGATCGGCAAGAATCTAGAGGTTTATGTTGACGATATGGTAGTTAAATCAGATGACCTTTACACCCACAAAAGTGATCTTGTCGAGGTTTTCAAACAGCTCCGAAAGCACGACATGCGGCTGAACCCTGAAAAATGTGTCTTCGGCATAGCGAGAGGAAAATTTCTTGGATTTATGCTATCCGCTAGAGGTATTGAGGCCAATCCGGATAAATGTCAGTCGGTGATTGGTATGCGAAGCCCGAATAGCATTAAGGAAGTTCAAGTTTTATTCGGACGGCTTACATCCCTCTCTCGATTCCTTCCTTGCCTTGCAAAGATAACAAAACCCATCGTTAGATTGTTGAAGAAGGCTAGCAGGTTTGTATGGACAGCAGAATGCGAAGAATCGTTCATATCCCTCAAACAGCGACTTGGCACACCTCCCATACTCTCAAAACCCGACCCAGGTCTTGACATGATCGTCTACTTGTGTGTCTCCAATGAAGTGATCAGCGCGGTCCTTGTGCAAGAGAAGGAGTCCCAGAAACCGGTGTACTTCGTGAGTCGAATGCTACAAGACGCCGAAAGAAGATACCAACTTCTTGAGAAGATGGCCCTCGGCTTGGTCCATACAGTGCGACGTCTTCGGCAATATTTCCACAGCCATAGGGTTATCGTTCAGACTGACTGTCCAATTGCCAAAGTCCTACGAAAACCCGAGCTAGCAGGACGAATGATGGCTTGGTCTATAGAATTATCTGAATTTGACATAGCATTTGAACCTAGAGGCCCGATCAAATCTCAATGTTTTGTCGACTTTGTTATTGAGTTGCAACCAGCAGGTCATTTTGAAAGTGATCAGTGGATACTTCGTGTCGACGGTTCGTCTAACAACCAGGGCAGTGGGGCTGGAATAATTCTCGAGGGACTGACATGCTTGACACTTGAACAATCTCTTCGCTTTGCTTTCAAAGCCTCGAATAATCAAGCCGTATACGAGGCGTTACTGGCTGGGTTGAGGGTGGCTCGGGAAGTGGGCGTTCGGAAACTGCTATGTTGGACCGATTCAAAAGTCGTTTCGGAACAGGTCAACGAGAAATTTCAGGTTCAAGATGCGCAACTGTTGAAATACTATCACACCTTCCAAAACATGTGTCAACATTTTGAGCAAGTGGTGGTAAAACACACTCCCCGCGAAAACAATGACAGAGGCGATCAACTGGCCAGATTGGCGACAAGCAATTGGAAACCGGGACAGCTTCGAACCACTCTTCACTTGGAAATCTCAACCCCAAGCGTCGAAGTAGTTGAATTTTTAACAGTCGTCGAGCAGCCAGCAACATGGATGACCAATATACTACGATTGATCATTGAAGGTATCGAGCCGACATGCCCTTCGGCAGCCAGAAAGTTGAGAACCCAGGCAGCGAGGTATTCTGTTATAGGAGGGGAGCTTTTTCGAAGAGGTGTCTCGTCTCCTTTACTCAAGTGTTTAAACTCAGAATAGGCTAATTACGTGCTGAGGGAAGTGCATGAGGGCATCTGCGGTTCTCATTCAGGAGGGAGGACTTTAGCGGCAAAGGTTCTGCGAGCCAGCTATTATTGGCCGACACTCAAATCTAATTGCATGGAGTTCGTCAAAAAATGTATTCAGTGCTAGAAGCATGGCAATTTGATACATGCATCAGCTGAGCAGCTACACAACATCACTTCTCCATGGCCGTTCGCGATGTGGGGAATGGATATATTTGGACCGTTTCCACTGGCCAAAGGGCAATGCAAGTTTCTTCTAGTCGCGGTTGATTATTTTACCAAGTGGATCGAAGCCGAACCTCTTGCAACAATTACCGCGAACAACGTTCAGAAGTTCCTCTGGAAGAATGTCATCACACGTTTCGGCATTTCTCATGCCATTATAACAGATAACGGACTTCAGTTCGTGGATCAGAAGCTCAACAAGTTCCTTCAGGATTTGGGGATCAAACACCGATTCACATCGGTTGAGCATCCACAAGCAAATGGCCAAGCCGAAGCGGCTAACAAAGTCATCCTCTCGAAATTGAAAAAACGCTTAGGGACAGCCAAGGGTGCATGGGCCGATGAGCTTCCCGAAGTATTATGGGCGTATCGTTGCATCCCTCAATCCACCACACAGGAGACCCCCTTCCGATTGACATATGGTGCCGATGCGATGATACCTGTAGAAGTCGGAGAACCCTCTTTCCGCCGAACACATTTCAATGAGCTCTCCAAAGATACATCCTTACGGGTAGAAGTTGATTTGGTCGATGAGGTACGAGCTAAGGCTCAGATCATTGCCGAAGCATGCAAGCTGAGAATGACTCGAAGATTCAATTCCAATCTCATTAGAAGAAGTTTCAAAGAGGGAGACTTGGTGTGGAGAGTGCAAGGATAAATGTCAGTATAAATAGCTCAGGACAAAAGGTAACGTCACTGTTCATTAATTATGATTGGCCTCAATACCTCTAGCGGATAGCATAAATCCAAGAAATTTTCCTCTCGCTATGCCGAAGACACATTTTTCAGGGTTCAGCCGCATGTCGTGCTTTCGGAGCTGTTTGAAAACCTCGACAAGATCACTTTTGTGGGTGTAAAGGTCATCTGATTTAACTACCATATCGTCAACATAAACCTCTAGATTCTTGCCGATCTGATGCCTAAAGATTTTGTCCATAAGCCGTTGGTACGTTGCTCCTGCGTTTTTCAATCCAAACGGCATTACCCGATAGCAATAATTTGTCGAGTCAGTGATAAAGGCTGTCTTGTTTTCATCTTGTGGGTGCATGCGGATCTGATTGTAGCCCGAATAGGCATCCAAAAAGGTCAATAAACGATGTCCTGCTGCCCCATCTACCAATCGGTCAATGCTGGGTGACGGATAGGCGTCCTTTGGACAAGCCTTGTTAAGATTAGTGTAATTTGTACACATTCTCCATTTGCCGTTGGGTTTTTTGACCATGACTACATTTGCTAACCAGGTGGTGTACTGCACTTCCCTAATGAAACGAGCTTGCAAGAGCTTGGCCACCTCCGATTCAACGGCAGTTTTTCTCTCCGTTCCTATCTTCCTCTTCCGTTGTGCGATTGGTTTGGCATTCGGGCAAATTGACAATTTATGGCACATAAAGTTCGGATCGATTCCTGGCATGTCTGACGGCGTCCAGGCGAACAAATCCTTGTTCGATGCAATTACTTTGCTTAAGTCTAGCCTTTCGGTGTCTGTCAAACTGACACCGATGTATGTGACCTGGGATGGTTGTGATCCGATTTGTATTGGGACCTTTTCTTCTGTTGGTTCAGCCCTTTCATCATTCATTCTTGGGTCGAGGTCACATTGTGAAGCCCATTCCGAGGAAGGAGTGACCGCATGAACTCTCCTTGACTTAGTCTGCTTCTCTTGAACAGGTTGCATACGTAAACTCGCAAAGTAGCATTCCCGAGCTGCCTTTTGGTCGGCATGTATCATGAGAATGCTTCCTTTATCCGATGGGAACTTCATAGCCAGGTGAGGTGTTGACACAATCGCCCCCAAAGCGTTCAATGATGGCCGACCTAGCAGTATGTTATAAGATGTGTTGGCTTGGACCACAATATATTTTACCTGGGCATCTCGCTGAGTTATACTGACAACATACATATACATTTCGGTAGCCTACTCATCAGAACTTTACAGTTAAGCGTGCTTGACCTGGAGTAGTACATGGATGGGTGACCTTCTGGGAAGTTTCCCAAAAATTGCACAAGTAATGATAAAACATGCTAAATAGTGAAATATTGTGAAATAGAACCCTTGAGAGGCCAAATATGAGGATTGTTACATTAATAAATTTATTAAAATTAAAAAAAATTATAATTTTCGACAGGTAAAAAAGGAGTCGTAATATTAATATAGAGGCAGTTGGTGCGACAGTTCATGAAAGGGTCGCAATTTTAATATAGAGGCAGTTGGTGCGACAGTTGATGAAAGGGTCGCAATTCCAAGTTTGTGACGGTTTGTGCAACGGTTCTGATAACCGTCACAAAATTTCTTGGTGACGGACAATTCTGCGACAGTTCCCAAACTGTCGCAATGTTGTCTTTGCGGCAGTTCTAACCGTCGCAATGTAGGCCATATAACCATCGCAAAATCGTCATTTTCTTGTAGTGATTCTATGACAACAACTCAACAATTAAGTTGTCTAAGAACCCAGAGTTCTTCAAGGCAAGAGCAAGCATATTGATGTACAATTTCATTTTTTAAGAGATTTTAGTAAAGATGGTGTAATTGATCTATGTATTGTAAGTCTCAAGATCGGCTCTCTAACCGCAGGGTCCATGGGGTCCAGGGCCCATAAATGTCAGTATAAATAGCTCGGGACAAAAGGTAACGTCACTGTTCTTTAATTATCCTAGATATTCGAGCTTGTCCTGACTTGAGCGTTGGAGTGCCTTTTGCAGGTACCAACCCCTTCACCAGCGCATTGGATCGGAGCTCTCGTTCGGTCTTTGGACTACCAGAAGACTTAGTGTGCCCATCAAACAGGTACATTTGGCGCCCCACCGTGGGGCCGAACGAAGAAAGTTGGAAGACAAACCACATACAATCATGGCGATAACTAGAAGAACAAACACACAAGACCATCAAGCGGAAGAGGAAGAACAAGTGGAGGTTGTGGACGAAACGGATCTTTCTAAAGTCGTTCGTTTGTTGAAACAGGAAATGGAAAGCTATGAAACAGCAGCGAGAAAAAGATGCTAGGGAGCTTTCGGCCTTGAGAGCTGAGAATGAGATGTTAAGGAATCAAGATACCTCATGAAAACCTACCCAGGCCACAAATACACAAACTCAAGGGTCGTATCAATCCCATACGATCCATACCTCGGGCCCTCATGCCTCGGAAGTGGCACCGGAAAAGCACCCCTCGGCCTTACCCACTGCCGGTCGACCCGCAGATTTGACAACTATCGGATCGCACCGACACCCTTCACCCCCTCCATAATGCAACTTCCCCTAATGAATAATTGGAAATCCTTACTTATTGACAAGTACGATGGTACAACAGATCCTGATGAACATTTGGATGTTTTTCTAACGCAGGTAACACTAAGCACAACGGATGACGCAGCGTTGTGTCGGATCTTTCCAACATCCCTTAAGGGCCGGGCTCTGAGCTGGTTCACTCGACTCCCCCCCAATTCTATTGATTCGTTTAACACTTTATCATCTTAGTTCACCATTCAGTTTGCAACAAGTCGTCCTCACAGCTTGACGTCCCTGTCGCTGGTCGGCCTCCGGCAAGACAAGAAGGAGTCACTCCGAGCTTTTATGGAACGGTTCAACAAGGCAACCTTAGAAATCCGGGATCTCAATCCGGCGGTAGCGCTCCACCACCTCACAACAGCTTTGAAACCCGGACCGTTTGTTAACAGCATCTGCAAAAAACCTCCTTCGGATATGAATGACCTACGAAGGAGAGCCGATAAATACATGCAGATGGAAGAGCTAGCTGAGTTCCGTAACCAAGCCCGAGCCGAACCAGGGGGAAAACCCGAGAAGACTGCAGAACAACCATACAGGGGGCGCGGTAAAGAGATAGCTCTTCGGGACCGACCCACTCGAGGACCGAAATATTCCCATTATACTCCCCTTAATGCGAGCCGAGCCGCAGTACTTGAGCAAGCTTTGGCATCAGAAGTGTTGGCAGTCCCGAAGAGGGCGTCCACTCCACCCCGTGCTGACACTAATAAATCGTGCAGGTATCATCGCAACCGCGGGCACTCTACCGAAGAATGCGCAGCGTTGAGAGATAAAATCGAGGATTTGATTAAACAGGGGCAACTCAGAAATTTCGTGGATCGGCCAAACTCATCTCGACATCAACCCGCGTATCAAGCTCGCCGACAAGATAGGCCCGAGCAATCAGGTGAGCGCCGCCGTGAACGTAGCCGGTCAAGGGAGCGAAAAGAAGAACCTCATACGACACACTGGCGGGTAATCAACACGATTGCCGGAGGTTTCACAGGGGGCAGATCAAATTCATCAGCTCAAAAGAGACATCTACGGGCTGTCAGATCAGTTAACGCTATTGAACGACGGTCGGTTCGGCGACTGCCCGCCATTACATTTACTGACGAGGATTTCCAAGGCATTGATCCGATTCAGGATGATCCTATGGTCATCAGTGTGGAGATACGTAATTGTATTATCAAGAAAACGCTCATAGATCCTGCCCGCCATTACATTTACTGACGAGGATTTCCAAGGCATTGATCCGATTCAGGATGATCCTATGGTCATCAGTGTGGAGATACGTAATTGTATTGTCAAGAAAACGCTCATAGATCAGGGTAGTTCGGATGACATTTTGTATTGGAACACGTTTAATTGTTGTATATTAATAATGGGGTAGAGGGTGTCACAATTATGACTAAGCCATTGAAATCAAAATTGTTTAGTAGTCTTAGAAGAAGGTTGGGAATGATTGAATTGTGTAATTAATGTTGAATTGTCATTTGCAAGTTCAATCTTAAGGGAGGATTTGTTAGAATGTTAGTTTTATGTTATTGGGAAGTCTGTTACAACTAATTCTTGTAGTCTAGCATATATAAAAGAGCATCATAAATTGAGGAATAAACAAAGGATCTTTGAAATTCATTTTTTCTTAACTCTACATTCTGTTTCTCTACACATAAAACAGTGGTCATACCACTGTAACCTGTTTGGGATTGAATGCAAGATTGATTACTTTGACCTTTATTCTCATCATATAGAGCTATGATGACCTGCCAATTTTTATTAATTTTTACTTGCTATAATTTTATTTTTATATGTAATTTGTTGTCATTTTTTAACTTGTCAAGTTGGTTTGCTTGTCTTTTGTTTATCTAGATTTCTTTAGTGTTAGTTTATTAATTAGTAACAAGGAAAATAATGAGCATGCTAGTAAATCCATTATATATATATATATATTTAGAGTACACTTATCTTTGTCCAACTCTAAAGAGAAAAATGCGTTGTGTTATCCCAAGATAATTCAAAGAAAGATAAATGAATAGTGTGCATAATATATAATTTATTTGATTAATTGATATTTGATTATTTATGATAAGAAAAGAAAAGAAAATTTTAAATAAGAATAATATAAAAATTGAAAAGTTTTACATCACTAATTCCGTTCTTTATCTAAATGATGGAATAAAATATTTATTTTATTCTATTGTAATTTGTCCAAATAATGAAATGATATTTTTAATCCATGTCACTCCAATGTTTTCTGATCCATCCCATTCTATTATGTACGAGTAATCTAAAAATACCCTATTTTTTATTTACTTAAGTTTTTTAAAGAATTTTTCTTAACTTTTTATTCTTTCGATTTTCATTTTAATTATTATTACTAAATTAAATCTTAGTATATATATATATAATATTATTAATTGTTAAAATTATTTATTGTAAATCTAAAATATAATTTATATATTAAAAAAATTTATTGATCACAAACTTTAATGATAATACAATTTATATATTTAAAAATATTTACTTATTATAAATTTTAATAATATAAAATGATTATTTCTTTTCCTAATTTTCTTCCATTTTTAAAAAACTTAAACCTTTTAATAACAGAGGTTCCAGCGAAAGGGCCGTGGTGGAAGAAGTTTTGAAAATAAAAGATAATTACAAGACAATAGATATCATAAGAGATAAAATGAGTCGATGAGAATTCTAGTATTATTTTCCTGAAGAAAATATAATAATTATTAAATATAATAATTATATTATATTTAATTAATTTTTATTTATCTGTAGGATGACAATAAATAAGTCATCCTACATCATACAATATCATACTTGTACAATCTATGGATCCTTCTCATTCCGGTGTATTTCACAAGTTACAATATAATATAATACTATAATTTTTATGTAAATTAAAAAATACTAGTATTTTAGTCTGTGTATCTCATAAGTTATATTTTTATTACATATAATTAAAATTTATAATAAATTATATATAAATAAATATTACTTAAATTAATAAATTATATTTAAAATTTGTATAAATATATATATTAAATTAAAATTAATAACTAATCAAAGAATAAATAACTTCTATATATAAAACACAAATGTCTTTCTTGTGCTATAGTATCTTTAGAGAATTTTTTTTATGACTAGAATTTTTTTTATATATATTTTATAACTTTTTTATCTAATTTAATTTTTTATTTATCATAATTACTTATAAATTAATTTTATTATTTTTAAAATAAATTATTAATAAAAAATAATTACACACGTTGGTAATTACCCACGAATACATCCGTGGATAATTTTATTATTTTATATTAATGGTAAATAATTTATATTATAATACAAAATTATTTTTAACTATTGATAATCTTTTTCAAAAATAAATATAAAAACAATATATTCAAAAAGATAAGAAATTAAAAGATACTGGAATAAATATGAAAATAATATTTTAAAAAGGTAAGATCTTAGTGAATATTAAAATATATATAAAAATAGCATACAAAAGGATAATATCTGAACTATTGAAGTTAAAATAAACATTTTATTTGAATATTCACACATATATGATAAATCATTTATTTAATAATATAAATATACAAAAAGCATTTTCACATTACAAAAATAAATTTTATGCTTCGATGATCAAAGAGTATTAAGATGAAAAGAATGAATGTGAAAGAAGATAGGGAGATGAACGTTTAGCAAGAAAAAATGTTCTAATTTATATACGGAGATTTAAATTATCCACTACCAGTAGAGAAGATTCACGTTGGGGCTTGGGGGGTCATCGCCCCTGATTTAAATTTTATAATTTATAATATGTATAATATTCTATTATTAAAGTAAGTATTTTATTTGGGAGTTTAATTATATATAAAATAACATTTAAGCACCATTTATTGTATTTTCTAAAACATTTTATTGCTCTTTTATAATTTTTTCAAAGATAATAATTATTTTATTCTTTTCTTTATATTCTTTATAGTGAATATAATTATACTTTTTCCTTTTTTAACAAATTTGAATATCATTTATTTTTACTTTTTCAATGTCTTTTGTTTATTACTTTTGTTATTATTATTTTAAAAACTATAAAAGATTGCATTTCTTTATATTTAATTGATTATAATTAATTTTAAAATTAAAAATTATTTAATATTTTTTTTCAATAAAGCAAACTTGCAAACACTTTACAAGAAATTTACTTTTCTTATCACTATATTTTTTATATTTTCTTTATATTTTTCCCTTATATCATATTTGTTTTTTTAAAAAACTTTGTTTGTAAAGGTTCGCTGTATTTCTACCTTAAATGCATATGTTATTTTGTAAATTATAGAATAAAATAATTAATAATACATAATATATATTATTGCTATAAAAAAACAATACAACAAATAATTAATAATCTATTTTATATTTTGGAATATAGTTAATAATTTTTTTCAATTAAAACTGTTGTTATGGATCTCATTTTTATTATAAGCTCATACATTTATCGAACGAATTTAATTTTTTATTGTTGGCTATTATTTTTTTCCTAGGACATACGACTGAACCTGAAGCCCAAATCCGTTTGGCAAACAGTTGGAGAACTGTTCATCGTTTTGAACATATACTATAAGCAACCACCCCACTACTCTAATCTCATGCCACAACCACATTTTGAAGTGTGAAAAACTCAAAACACAATTCAATCACTACGTTCGTTTCTTTCTTTGCGCGCCAATATAATTTGATTTATTATTTATGAGGACGGACAAGATCAGTTTTGAAATTTCAATTGTAATTAGGATTAATGTGATCGATCTTTCTGATATTAATTTGAGGATCAAAGTATATATGAATTAGTTTGAACAGTTAGATAAGATAAAACGCGTCTTTATCAATTATGACTATAAAAGTATATACACAAGCATTGATTCATGGCCATCAACACTAATTTCTTTATCTCAAATTTCTTGTAGCTCTGACGTACGTGATGGGTTCTTCCTCCGGTGAAAACATGTTGGTCTTGTTTGTGACGTTGTTGACAGCAATGATCGTCCGTGGCAGCACAGAAACAGAGGCATGCAAATGCAATTCATACAGTTTTCCCAACAACGTTAAGTATGCAGCATGCAAGGACTTGGCAGTGCTTGAATCTTCACTGCATTGGAACTACCACCCATCATCAGGCACCGTTGATGTTGCATTCAATAAGGCCAACGCTAAGGACTCAAGTTGGATTGCATGGGCCATCAACCCCACATCCAAAGGAATGGTGGGCTCGCAAGCATTCGTCGCTCTTTATAACTCAGATGGGAGCATCAAAGCCTATACATCACCAATAACAAGCTATGCCACTCTCTTAAAAGAGGGTCTTCTCACCTTTCCTGTTTACACTGTTTCTGCCTCCTACGCCAATGGCCACCTCATCATCTTTGCCACTTTCCAACTTCCCTCCAACACCACTTTGATCAATCATGCATGGCAACAAGGCCTCCTTTCAGATCATGCCACTCTCTTGCCACACTCTTTTTCATCACCTAACCTTCATTCTTTTGGAGCCCTAGATTTTCTATCTGGCAAGGTTTCTGAAACTGATCGAAACATGAACTCAAGAACCACATTCAGAAACGTAAGTATAGATGCACGTACTTTATAATTAATAATATGGGCACCATAGAATTTCTTATCAATATTATCTCATTTTGCCAATTTGTCTTCTGTACATTTATTAATTATTAGGTCGTTTAGAGTTTTAATAATATAGAATGCATGACTAATTATTATACTAACACATAAGTTGTGATTAATTTGTTCAGGTCCATGGAACTTTGAATACCATAAGCTGGGGAATAATGATGCCGATTGGGGTAATAATGGGTCGGTACTTGAAGGTGTTTGATGGTTTGGGAGGCACTTGGTTTCAGCTGCACAGAGCATGTCAATCACTCGCATTATTGATTGGCATTGCTGGCTTTGGAAGTGGTTTGTATATGGGAAATCATTATGGCCTTCATCACACTCCTCACCGATGCGTTGGAATAACTCTAATGTGTCTTGCATTTGCTCAAGTTTGTGTTGCTGTGTGTTTGAGGCCTAAGAAGGATCACAAGTACAGAATGGTTTGGAATGTTTTTCACTATGTAGTGGGTTATGCAACTATTGCCCTTGCCATATGGAACGTTCTCAAAGGTTTTGACATTCTCGACGCTAATAAGATTTGGAAAAAGACCTATGTGGGCATAATCTTATCCTTAGCTGCAATTGCTATAATAATGGAGATCATTACTTGGATTTGGGTCTGCAACAAAAACAGGCTCCAGAAGTCAGAGATGCAAGTTCACTCTACCCAACAACAACCATAGGCCATAGGATTCTTATTTCTACGTATTGTAAATTTTCTTCTTCTTGTTATAGTTTAAAACTTTGTCAAAATGCTTTCATTAATTAATGAAGTTTATAGGTTAGTGAATTCAGTCCTCACTCGTCTAAAGTTTGGTTATATATTATATTCGTTTTATGTTGCATTTGAAATATTCCATTTATTTTGATATTAATATAATAATTACATCATTCTTTAATTATATTCATTGTCATGATAAACTTCATTTGTAAAACATATGTAAAAATCCAACACTAAATACAATTTATACAATTTCTATGAAATTGGAATCAAACCAATCTTTTATAATTTTGTTTAATTTGATTTTGGGGATTTTAAATTGTATTATTTAAAAACAAACTAAAAACTAAAATATCATTATATTTTTTTAAGAACCTTGTGTCAAAAATAAAATTAAAAGGATAGAAATACTAAAAAATTTCAATGTATTTAGTTATGAAATTATCTTGTTATTTTATTAAAAAAATTATTTAATATAATTTTAGTTATCATATTAAATATTTTTTTCTTACATATATCATTTGTCACTTAAAATAAAATTATTTTAAAATATGATAAATAATTCATAATTTTTCATTCTAAAATTCATTTTAGTAAATCATAATTTTATACAATAAATTTTAAATTAAATATATTATAATATATATTTAGGGAAAAAACCTTCTAGTAATTTATAATTTAATAATTTATAATTTTGCAAAAATAAAAATCTTTTACGTTACGTATCAATTTAATTTGTATATCTACATTATGCATTTGAAAAAAAATTAATATGAGTATATTTTGATATTAGTATAATAGATAATTATATCATTCTTTAATTGTTATAAAAATAATCAAATATTCTTCAAACTAAAAACTACGATAGAAACAACTAGCTGAATTATCAGCAAATAAAAGAATTTAAATCCTAATTAGGGAAATTCAAACATATGAACCCCATCAGTAAGGTTAAAAGTATGGTTTGTCATAGAATCAACAACTTGATTTGTTTCCTGAAGATCACTTTAGCTTCCTGTTCATATCAGCAATCTCAACAATAGAGTTGATCGGTGTTATATAGCTATAAGATACATTGCATCCTTCATTTAAGATTTTAATTGCAAGGGATGAGTCAAATTCTATAATAACAAATTTGTTGCCTATTCACAAAAAAAAAAAAAAAAAATCTTGTGGAAAGCACGGGTAAATTGACTAATTTTTATAGAAAATGAGACATAATTTAGGAAATTGACGATAAATTGATTTATTTATAAATCACATTAAACTAGGAAATTGACCACTCTTAATAAATCATGTCACAAATTCTGAATATTTTTTTATTATTTTTTTATTTCAATTAATATTTTGAAATTTTATCTTAAACTAACCTGTCTTAGTCGAGAGATAAGTGAAATTTGATCAAAATTTATTTCTGTCAAAAATCAAATTCAACAATATGAGTTTGAATTCAACACATTAATCAATGCTGTTTAATTTTTTTGGTTATTACCGATAGATTGATGATGATAATTTTGGAAATTGATGATAGATTGATTTATTAATATTTCACAATTGATTCAAGAAAGTAATATATTTTCTTTTTGTGTATTTATGAATGATTTATATAAATTAGAAAATTATATCATATCTATTACTTTTTTTTTCGTTCCTGGAGTATCCATACATTCGAACTCTTGACCTTGCTTAAGCGTGAATCAATTCCTATCACTGAACCACACGCTTAGAGTTGTATCTATTACTATATTTGCATATATTTTAGGAAATATTATTTTGACCTTTAAGATTCTTCTAATAATACCATATCACATTCTGACAGTTAACATTTGCACAATAAATTATATCAATTTTCTTCAACGTGTTTATTATTATAAACTCATGATTGACATGGGTACATGAAAAACAGCTAACCTTGCATCAGATGAATATTTATCACAAACTTTTCACACAAATTGATTAAATCACGCGTTTGTAATTTTATATTAGATAAAAGTTAAATGAAAAAATTGTAAAAAAATTTGATGAAAATCATCCATCTATTTTTTTTCTTTCAAAATTAATAGAATAACACTATAACAAAATTTATTATTATCAATAGTTATTTAACGATAACAAATTAATTGTCTCTATTTTATTATCTAATAAAAATATTAATGTCTAATATATAATAACCACAAAAAATATATTTACATCACATCAAAATTTATTATTAGTAACAATTATTTATTAAGAAAAACTTAAGTCTCACATCGAATATAGATAAAATAATTAAAAAATATGTAAGTAACAAGTAATTCTCATCTTATAAGTCTCACATCTCATAGATAAGACTATTAAAAAAACTAGACATGGACCTGCACGTTGCGTAGTTTATTGAAAATTTATATTTTTATATAATATTTTAATATATGTAAATTAAAATTTTGTAATATAATAACTATTATTTTGAAATATAAAGATATGAAATAAGTATATGATAATTGTTATATATTATTTTTTGTTGATTATATTACAAATTTGTGTTCATACTCACTATAAGAAATTTCAAAATTATAGACAACTAAAATTCGTGGGCAATCTAAAAAATTCGTAGGTAACACTTTATTTATGACAAATTACAGACAGACAATAATCTATCGGTAAATTATTCGTCTGAAATATTTACGGAAGAATTATAATCCGTGGATAACTTTTAGACAGAATTACCCACGAATAAAATCCGTGAGTATTTTTGATAATATTTTTAAAAAATCATTTCAAAATTATATTACATAACACTTATTTAGTGCAACATCCCTCATAGCTGACCTTTCACAACTCCACTCCATGACACTTCACACAACTCCTCGTTGGTCAGAACCCTTCACGGGTAACCCTTTTTGAGATATTCGTCCACTTTTAGGATCAAAGATTGACTCTACAAACCTCACAAATCAACACAAAACTTTTCAGCGTGCCTTGTCGAACGGAGAGAAAACCTGCCGTTGAATCGGAGGTGGCCAAGCTCTTGCAAGCTCGTTTCATTAGGGAAGTGCAGTACACCACCTGGTTAGCAAATGTAGTCATGGTCAAAAAACCCAAACTTGAGCAAGCTTTGGCATCAGAAGTGTTGGCAGTCCCGAAGAGGGCGTCCACTCCACCCCGTGCTGACACTAATAAATCGTGCAGGTATCATCGCAACCGCGGGCACTCTACCGAAGAATGCGCAGCGTTGAGAGATAAAATCGAGGATTTGATTAAACAGGGGCAACTCAGAAATTTCGTGGATCGGCCAAACTCATCTCGACATCAACCCGCGTATCAAGCTCGCCGACAAGATAGGCCCGAGCAATCAGGTGAGCGCCGCCGTGAACGTAGCCGGTCAAGGGAGCGAAAAGAAGAACCTCATACGACACACTGGCGGGTAATCAACACGATTGCCGGAGGTTTCACAGGGGGCAGATCAAATTCATCAGCTCAAAAGAGACATCTACGGGCTGTCAGATCAGTTAACGCTATTGAACGACGGTCGGTTCGGCGACTGCCCGCCATTACATTTACTGACGAGGATTTCCAAGGCATTGATCCGATTCAGGATGATCCTATGGTCATCAGTGTGGAGATACGTAATTGTATTGTCAAGCTCATAGATCAGGGTAGTTCGGCTGACATTTTGTATTGGAACACGTTTAAACAGCTCGGCATATCCGAAGAAGAGTTGACCCCTTACACTGAACCACTGGTCGACTTTGCAGGAGAAAGAGTTGACACCAAGGGATCCATCAAACTCTCTACTCGCTTCTGCTTCGACAAAGGAGAGCATCGAGATGTCCAGGTGAAATATATTGTAGTCCAAGCCAACACATCTTATAACATACTGCTAGGTCGGCCATCATTGAACGCTTTGGGGGTGATTGTGTCAACACCTCACCTGGCTATGAAGTTCCCATCGGACAAAGGAAGCATTCTCATGATACATGCCGACCAAAAGGCAGCTCGGGAATGCTACTTTGCGAGTTTACGTATACAACCTGTGCAAGAGAAGCAGACTAAGTTCAGGAGAGTTCATGCGGTCACTCCTTCCTCGGAATGGGCTTCACAATGTGACCTCGACCCAAGAATGAATGATGAAAGGGCTGAACCAATAGAAGAAAAGGTCCCAATACAAATCGGATCACAACCATCCCAGGTCACATACATCGGTGTCAATTTGACAGACACCGAAAGGCTAGACTTGAGCAAAGTAATTGCATCGAACAAGGATCTGTTCGCCTGGACGCCGTCAGACATGCCAGGAATCGATCCGAACTTTATGTGCCATAAATTGTCAATTTGCCCGAATGCCAAACCAATCGCACAACGGAAGAGGAAGATAGGAACGGAGAGAAAAACTGCCGTTGAATCGGAGGTGGCCAAGCTCTTGCAAGCTCGTTTCATTAGGGAAGTGCAGTACACCACCTGGTTAGCAAATGTAGTCATGGTCAAAAAACCCAACGGCAAATGGAGAATGTGTACAAATTACACTAGACTCTTGCTTGAGTGGGTTAATATAGATTAGAATATGTTAGGATTGTGAGGAGTGGAAAAAAATCTAGGTGGAAGCTTCACAGAGTTAACCACGCCGGGCGCAATCTAGCCACGCCCAGCGCACCTAGAGTAAATGGGCCTCTGCCAAGAGCCACGCCGGGCGCAATTTCTATTGCGCCCGGCCCAGCCTTCATTAAAGCCCCTGGAACGACCAAGCTCGGCGCATTTATTGGGGCGCCGGGCGCATTAACTACTGGAAGGTCTGAGCCTTAAATACGCCAGGCGCGTGTTTTCCCAAGCCCGGTGCATTGAATGTTTGAACGTTGAAACCCTAGTTAAGCCTGGCGCGAAACGGCAGCGCCCGGCGCCACACCAGATGAGGGCAACTCTTGGGCTCCTACTGATATGGCACCCGGCGTGGAAAATGGCACGCCTGGCGCGACCCTTTAGAGGCCT